ATAACTTAGATGCTTCGGACTGAAGATTAAGCACTAGAAGATTAAAGTAAACAAACTCGTGCATTCCTTCCTTCATGTAATCCTAGAAGAGGGCTTGTTTTGAGTGATCTTGCAGCTGCTTTCTAAGGACTGTGCTTTACATCGGGAAACCCAACGTGCCATCCTAAATAGAGCTGCACCCTTCTGAATCCACTGACTTCAGTGGCGCCGAAGCACTGGACTAGGAAGGGGTGCAGAATGTCAAAACGGCTCTAGCTGATGCCTTTGTTGCTTGTTAGAATGTCAACACACTATTTACAGTGTTTAAAAAAATAGATCACAGTTGACAGTCTTTGTTCAAAACTTTTTCAAATGCCTTTTTTGGAACTCGCCCAGCAGAACTTCTTTTTGCTTATGTATCCTTCCAGGTGACAATGACAGTTGGGCCAGACCAAGACCTTGCCATTCTGCATGAAGTTCGCCAAGGGAACCAAAGGACTAAGAAAATTCAAGGGGAGCTGAAAAACTTAAAGTCGAAAATCTACAGCCTGGAAAACGAGCTACGAGTCTGTTGAGGAAGGTGCACCAACGGAGCTGGGTGCCCTTTCAGCGTTCCCGTCGAAAAAGTGGACGCTCGTATCTGTGCGGTGAAAACCATGTACCTTGCTGTGACTCTAGGGTGTAAGCTGGACGCTTCACAACTGAAGGAGTCCATACAAGCTTATGTCAGACTTGGAAAGGAAATAATCTTTAACATTATAAAAAAACCAACAACACATGCATCTCTTCCCCGTGATGTCAGGTTATACAAAGACTGAGCCGCAGTAACTGGCAAATGACGTTGTTCCAACAGACCATACTCATAGTCTGTAGAAAGTTTTTTAATCTGCTGAGAACGGTACACAGTGGAGGGTTCTCCAAAAAGCTATTTGTATCCTTGTTAGCTTCAGAGAGGAAAGCAGATTCTGCGAGTCCTTCCCCAGGAATGACTCTGGAAGAGTGGGGACATCCTATTATCATGTTTTCTGATTCAGCAGTCTCCAATTCACTGCTTATTTGAGCTCTCAAGAACTATGGCCCAGATCAAACCATTTTGTGTAGATCTAAGTGTGTTTTGCTTTCATGTAAGTACATAGAACTTTGAATGCTTTTTGACCTACATTATAGAGCTGTGAGCACTTCGGGGGAGGGAGGAAAAAGCCCTATGATGTTGGATTGGGCTCTATTCCCAAGGATGCACACATAGGATTGCAGCTTTAGTCAAAAGATTGAGTTGCGTAATGTTGCTTCTTACCACAATTCACATTCAGATCCTATCAGGAGTAATATTTTTATTATAGAATGTTGTAGGGAGATGAGAGAGCAAGCAACTGTTCCCCAATGTAATATTAGCATCGCCCCTTATGGTTTTGCACTGATTCTACCACCAGGTCATTGCTGCAACCAGTAATGAAATCCCCACTGTAGACAATCACTGGTCTTTCAGACTACTACCTTAACCTGTCACTTCTCCACAGGAAACTGAATGATGTAGGAAAAAGGCATATGTGGCCGTGGCATCACTCATGTAGGAACACACTAGGAAACTGTTACTTCCTTGAGCATGACTTCATGTGCCATTGCCAAGGAGATGATCTACTTGTGGTTTCCTATAAAGGGGTGTTTTCTGTGTATGAAATTTGCAACAGTTCCCCCAGAAACTCTCTTCCCATCCAACAATGTCCATCTGTTAGGTTATCCAGGAAGCTAAACTAGACTGCTGCTAGTGTGAAAATACTAACCTGTACCCTTTGTGCAGAGTTACGTTCAATAGCATACTCCCCCTCCTTGTTTCCGTCACTAACAAAGGGGGTAATGTATTCCTGATGGGCTGCAACTGGTTTGTAACGACCAAAAAAATTTACTAAATCAGCACCCAACAACATTAGATTCTCTCTCTCCTCTTCTTTCTTAAGCCACCTTTTAAGGAGCACAAAACCTTTTACAGGGCTTAACAGGTGCCTTTTAGAGAAGTTTCTGTTTTGTGTGTCTTCTGTTCTGCAATTGTTAATTTCAGATCCGGGTTTTATATCATTAAAATTGAAGCTGAATCCCTGATTGTTAAAAGCAAGTACTTTTCTCCCTTTCTCACAATATAAGAACTCGTGGGCACTCAATGAAATTGCTGAGCGGTCGGGGAGGGCGGGATAGAAATGTAAAAAATAAATAAATAAATAAAAGGAAGTACTTCTTCACCCAAAGAGTGATTAACACATGGAATTCACTGCCACAGGAAGTGGTGGCGACTACAAGCATGGACGGCTTCAAAAGGGAATTAGATAAGCATATGGAGCAGAGGTCCATCAGTGGCTATTAGCCACAAGGTATAGATAGGAGCTCTGGGGCAAGTGATGCTCTGTCTTCTTGGTGGTTGGGGGGGTCAACAGTGGGAGGGCTTCTGATGTCCTGGCCCCACTGGTGGACCTCCTTGATGGCACCTGGTATTTCTGGCCACTGTGTGACACAGAGTGTTGGACTGGATGGGCCTTTGGCCTGATCCAACATTGGCGTCTCTTATGTTCTTCTGTTCAAGAGGGTTTTGTGGTATCTGAAAGTCTAACAGGTTTACTGTGGTATGAGCCACAATCCTAAGGCTCACTTCATCAGATACATGGAGTAGTCTCCTCAACTGGCAGATCAAATATATAAAATGAACTGTGAAGCCAAACGGAGATGAAATGCGAGATGAATAATCTCTGGCTTCTACTTTACCAATCCCAGGTGTACAAGAGAACTCCAGTGGCCATACACAACAGTTATTGCCAATAAGACAATATTTATATCTTTTCTCATTGTAGGAGGACCAACATACCTGGTCTCCATTTAAGCCCTAGATGAAGACAATCAACTCCAGGCAAAAGTTATAGTTCAGCAAATTTGTCTCCCTTTGTAATATTTTATTCTATTAGACAATGTATGACTTATCAGTACAATTCTCTAAGCAAGTTACAGGATAAAAGGTTAACAGCAATACAGTTTAAACCACATCAAACCAATCCAACCATGACATAACTCACATAATATACGACAAGATCAAAATGAGCCTGTGTGTAACTTACTAAACATAATGCTTCAAAGGTCTGTGCAAACAGGGAGATTTAAAGCCTTTGAATCTTGCTGCGTTTGGCTAGGCAGTGGCCTTGGCAGTCTAGCAGCCGTGATGGAAAAAGCCCACTCTCTAGTGTCCTGCAGGACCGTTTACTGATTATCCCCTGCAGTTCTTCCTGTGTGGACCAGAATATGGTTCCGAGTGCTCTCTCGGGTATCTTAGCCTGCTACAGGTAATCACCAGCGCCTGGAACTTAGCCTGGAAGCAAATTGGCAAGCCGCTGACTGTAGCTCACAGAGAAGAGGCGCAATACATTCACCACCAGCCTTCATGCCAGGAATGTTGAAACAGTTGTAGCTTCCACATTACATTGGAAGAATGGTGAGTTCCAGGTCAGCCACTGAGTGTCATGGGGACATCCTCTGGCCATTAAGGCTTTGTTCTCTTGCTAGTGGTGCCTGCCAAGTAAACTTTCCACAAAGTCCCCATCAGTGTACCCTCTAAACTGAGTTAGTGAGAGCTAGCTCACAGTTTTTTAGCCTCTGGCTCACAGATTTTCATCTTGGCTCAGGAAGGATGGCTTCAGAGCAAACTAGTTTATGCAATAGCCAAATCACTCGCTCCCAACTTTAATGCCAGGAGCTCACAAAGTAGAATTTTTGCTCACAAGACTCCACAGCTTAGAGGGGACATTGGTCCCCATGTTTCCCCTCTCCCGTTTTGCACATTATACTGTCCTCCACAAAGCTGATCGCCTTCCTGTGCTCATAATTCTTAGCATTTCTATAATAATTTTCTTATTCAAACCACTTTGTGTACATGTTCCTTATCACCCCTGTAAGGAAGGCCTGGTTGTTTCCCCTCTATTGCAATGAGGGGCTGAGTGGTGCAGAGAAACGACGGCTGAGGGGTGACATGATCGAGGTTTATAAGATTATGCATGGGATAGAGCGGGTCGAGAAAGAAGTACTTTTTCTCCCTTTCTCACAATACAAGAACTCGTGGGCACTCCCATGAAATTGCTGAGCGCTCGGGTTAGAACAGATAGAAGGAAGTACTTCTTCACCCAAAGAGTGATTAACACATGGAATTCACTGCCATGGGAGGTGGTGGCAGCTACAAGCATGGACAGCTTCAAGAGGGAACTGGATAAACATATGGAACAGAGATCCATCAGTGGCTATTAGCCACAAGGTATAGATAGGCACTCACAGGCTGGGGCAGGTGATGCTCTGTCTTCTTGGTGCTTGGGGGGGGGAACATTGGGAGGGCTCCTAGTCTCCTGGCCCCACTGCTGGACCTCCTGATGGCATCTGGTATTTTTGGCCACTGTGTGACACAGGGTGTTGGACTAGATGGGCCATTGGCCTGATCCAACATTGGCTTCTCTTATGTTCTTAAGTATTTCTGCTAGTTAGGGTTTTTTCATGTTTGGTCAACTTCAGTAACCTCATGATATAACTTAGCCTAAGATATTTCCCCTGCTTTCACTGCATGTCAATCCATTGTTTTATTAACTTTCTAAGGGAATTCTGGGAAAAGGTAGAGGGAGGTGGATTGAAATTGTCCACAGAGGCCATGGCTGGTGACATGGACTGCCGGACAACGACTCGAGATAGCAAGAGGAAGGATGCAGGCTTAACTTGTAAGGGAAATTACAGCTGTTTCTATACAAATGCTAGAAGTGTCCGAGGTAAAATCGGGGAGTTGGAGTGCTTGGTGTCGGAGGGAAAAATAGACATTGTGGGTATTTCTGAAACTTGGTGGGATGAGGAAAATCAGTGGGACACAGTGATTCCCGGTTATATATTATATCGGAAGGATAGGGGGGGAAGGGTTGGAGGTGGGGTAGCTCTGTATGTCAGAGAGGGTATAAAGTCTAGAAAGATTGAGAGGCTAAGTGAATTGGATTCGCTTCTGGAAGTTCTATGGGTTGAAATAGGGGGGCCAAAAGGAAACTTAACACTGGGAGTTTGTTATCGCCCACCAGATCAAAAGATAGAGGAGGATTATAAAATGATGAATGCCTTAAAGATAGCAACTAGACAAAAACACTGTGTAATAATAGGTGATTTTAACTACCCACACATTGATTGGGTCAATATGTGTTCTAGTCGGGAAAAAGAGATTGAGTTTCTAGACACTCTAAATGACTGTGCTATGGAGCAGATGGTCACGGAACCTACCAGGGGAGAGGCGATCCTTGATTTGGTCCTAAGTAACACTCAAGACCTGGTGAGAGATGTAAAAGTGATTGCACCGCTTGGAAACAGTGATCATAATGTTGTTGAGTTCATCATTTGTACAAATAGAGAATTGGCCAAAAAGACTCACACAACCATTTTTAACTTTAAAAGGGGTAATTTCTCTGATATGAGGGGACACGTGGGGAGGAAACTGAAAGGAAAAGTAGAAAGGGTCAAAACAATTGGGGAAGCTTGGGATCTATTTAAAACTACGATCCTAGAAGCTCAAAAAATATATATTCCGCAGGTTAGGAAAGGCACAAACAGGTATAGGAAAAAGCCTGCATGGTTAACAAACAGAGTAATGGAGGCTGTAAAAAGTAAAAAGAATTCCTTTAAGCAGTGGAAAGCTAGTCACAGTGAGGCTGATAAAACGGAACACAGGCTATGGCAAATAAAATGCAAGTCTGAGGTCAGGCAGGCAAAAAGGGAATATGAGGAGCATATAGCAAAAAACGTAAAAACCAACAATAAAACTTTCTTCAAATACATTAGAAACAGGAAACCAGCCAGGGAGGCAGTGGGGCCCTTGGACGACCAAGGGGTAAAAGGAGTATTGAAGGATGATAGGGAAATGGCTGAGAAGCTAAATGCATTTTTTGCCTCCGTCTTCACTGTGGAAGATGAGAAGTGCTTGCCCACTCCAGAACCACTGATTTCAGGAGGGGTGTTGAAAGACCTGAGTCAGATTGAGGTGACGAGAGAGGAGGTCCTAAAACTGATAGACAACTTAAAAACTGAAAAATCACCAGGCCCAGATGGCATACATCCGAGAGTTCTGAAAGAACTCAAATGTGAACTTGTAGATCTCCTGACAAAGATATGTAATCTTTCCTTAAAATCTGCCTCCATTCCTGAGGATTGGAAGGTAGCTAATGTCACTCCCATCTTTAAAAAGGGTTCCAGAGGAGATCCGGGAAATTACAGGCCAGTCAGTCTGACGTCGATACCGGGTAAATTGGTGGAAACCATTATTAAGGAAAGAATTAGTAGGCACATAGATGAACAAAACCTATTGAGGCAGACTCAACATGGGTTCTGTAAGGGAAGATCTTGTCTCACTAACCTGTTAGTGTTCTTTGAGGGGGTGAACAAACATGTGGACAAGGGGGATCCAATAGATATTATTTACCTTGACTTCCAGAAAGCTTTTGATAAAGTTCCTCATCAAAGGCTCCTAAGTAAGCTCAAAAATCATGGGATAGAAGGACAAGTCCTTTTATGGATCAAAAACTGGCTAGTTCATAGAAAACAGAGAGTGAGTGTAGGTGGGCAATTTTCTCAGTGGAGGGTGGTAAGCAGTGGGGTACCGCAGGGATCAGTACTTGGTCCACTGCTTTTTAACTTGTTCATTAATGATTTGGAGTTGGGAGTAAGCAGTGAAGTGGCTAAATTTGCGGATGATACGAAGTTGTTCAGGGTGGTGAAAACCAGTGAGGATTGTGAGGCACTCCAAGGGGATCTGTCAAGGATGGGCGAGTGGGCGTCAACATGGCAAATGGGGTTCAATGTGGCCAAGTGCAAGGTGATGCACATTGGAGCCAAAAATCCTAAATATAAATACACATTGATGGGGTCTGAACTGGCAGAGACTGATCAAGAGAGAGATCTTGGAGTTGTAGTAGATAACTCACTGAAGATGTCGAGACAGTGTGTGACTGCAATAAAGAAGGCCAATGCTATGCTGGGGATTATTAGGAAGGGTATTGTAAACAGATCAGCCAATATCATAATGCCGCTATATAAATCAATGGTGCGACCTCATTTGGAATACTGTGTGCAGTTCTGGTCACCACACCTTAAAAAGGATATTATAGCTTTGGAAAAAGTGCAGAAAAGGGCAACTCGAATGATAAAAGGGTTGGAACACTTTCCCTATGAGGAAAGGTTAAAGCGCTTAGGGCTCTTTAGCTTGGAGAAAAGATGACTGAGGGGTGACATAATTGAGGTTTGCAAGATTATGCATGGGATAGAGCAGGTAGAGAAAGAGGTACTTTTCTCCCTTTCTCACAATACAAGAACTCGTGGGCACTCCATGAAATTGCTGAGCGGTCGGGTTAGAACGGATAAAAGGAAGTACTTCTTCACCCAAAGAGTGATTAACACTTGGAATTCACTGCCACAGGAAGTGGTGGCGGCTACAAGCATGGACGCCTTCAAAAGGGAATTAGATAAGCATATGGAGCAGAGGTCCATCAGTGGCTATTAGCCACAAGGTATAGATAGGGGCTCTGGGGCAAGTGATGCTCTGTCTTCTTGGTGCTTGGGGGGGCCAACAGTGGGAGGGCTTCTAATGTCCTGGCCCCACTGGTGGACCTCCTGATGGCATCTGGTATTTTTGGCCACTGTGTGACAGAGTGTTGGACTAGATGGGCCTTTGGCCTGAGCCAACATTGGCGTCTCTTATGTTCTTATGTACCTGGAGAACACTTCAAGAGAACATGGACTAAGAAGAGCACCAGAAGTGAAGCAGCACAGAGAAAAGGCTTTGTTTAAAAAAAGCCCTAGGGCAGATCTTTCCATGATCTCTTCCTGGGTCTTCCAGGGAATGCACCCCCCCCCTACTCTGCAGCCACCAGCAGGCAAACAGCAGCTCCCGTGCTACCTGTTGGGAACTGCTGCTTCTTCAGCCTACATACTCTCTGGGTGATGCTGATGTGATTTTAGATTACCCGGACAGCTGGACCCCAGCGATTGCAAATATGTAGCATCACTGGGCCAGCGGCCAGCATCACCATACCTTGAGGTGGGGCAGCAGCCGGGGCCCAGGGTCTCTGGTAGGGCCCACTGCTACCAGCACCCCTTGCCCACAGACTTGCTAATGTTCCACCACTCATGCTCCCTGCTGTGCCACCGGGGAAAGGTCCTCAGGCAACTGTAAGCATGGGCAGTGGGACTGCTTGGGAGCAAGCAAGGGAAGGACATGAGCTGTTGGGAGGCATGCAGGTGGGCGTGAGGGAAGGAGGGTGTGAGTGTCTGGGTGGGAGGGGGAAGAGAGGAGGTGGGCCCTGGGGACTCTCCGTTCAGGTCCTCCTCCACGAACCTGGAACTGGTGGCCCTGAACGGGTGGCCTCTTGTTTCGTGAAAGTAACACTCAACTTCAAACCTTTTATTTTGTAAAGTTAACTTTGTGTGTGTGTGTTCTGTAGCTTGGGAGTCATAAAAGGGGGAAGGGAATTTGGGGTTTGCTTGTATAATCAGCAATGTTGGAAACCATTATCTCTGCATCCTGTTTTCACAACAAATCACTATTTAACAGACTCGCTGTCACTCTGAATAGCTAATTGCTGAATCTTTTCTCTAGCAGATGCCTGTAGAAAAAGCACACGGGGATGGGAGGGAGTCTCTAGCCCTGCCAACAACATTGGGTGAAAAGCGCAGCTAACCTTGTCCTAGTCTTGCTCATACGACCTTGGAGTAAAACCGTGCATATCCACTCGCACTATTAGGGCCACTGGTGGAAAAAGCCTCCACAGGCTTTTCTAGTCTGAATGGATCCAGTAAGCAGAGCGGCTCAGGCTCTGAAAAGCTATTTATAATGGCAGCCAAAAACAACAACAACAACAACTAAAAAGCTCAAAGTGTGCTCAGCCTGTTTTCACAACAAATCACTATTTAACAGACTCGCTGTCATTCTAAATAGCTAATTGCTGAATCTTTTCTCTAGCAGATGCCTGCAGAAAAAGCACTCGGGGATGGGAGGGATTCTCTAGCCCTGCCAACAACACTGGGTGAAAAGCGCAGCCAACCTTGTCCTAATCTTGCTCATACAACCTTGGAGTAAAACCATGCATATCCACTCACACTATTAGGACCACTGGTGGAAAAAGCCTCCACAGGCTTCTCAGGCTCTGAGAAGCTATTTATAATGGTAGCCAAAAACAACAACAACAACAACTAAAAAGCTCAAAGTGTGCTCAGAATAAATGATTTCAACAATTAGGATTCATGCACTCTTCTTCTTGCACCTAATGTTTGCATTTTCACGGGATCTGGAAGCTAGCAACGAGGAGGGGAGAAGTGGCATTGGAAGACCCTTGGGCAAAGAGGAGACAGCAGAGGTAGGTAGGGGAAGAAACATAGAAATTGCGGGGGGGGGGGGGGGCTAGTGAAGTGGGGAAAATATCTAGGCTAGCCTATACATCAGAATATTTAAAAGGTAAAGTGCTACTGTCAGGTTCCCAGTCAAATCACTCTCCACACACACTTTGGCAGTGAATGCTTTATTTAGAGATCTGAGATGCTGTGGGTTCAAGCTCATTGTTAGGACTGATTTGCAAAGGCGGGAAAGAACAAGATATAGGTAGAAGCCCCAAAATTCCATGCACACCTACGTCAGCATTACTACAGTGACTCTGAAAGATATACAGTCATTATCTAGCCAGGCACAGTCTTCTCCAAGGACATTTCTCGTGTGAAAGATGTCTTGGGGCCCCTTAGGAAAATTACCAATCAAGCCTCCCTAACAAACTACACACACTCCCCCCCCCCAAGGAATGCAATGGCAGGCAAGGGCAGTGATAAGAATACAAAATACAAGCAGTGGATGGACAATGCAACCAAATCAGCCAGCCCGCCCCGCTGCCAGATGCCCGAGTCTGACAGCTACTGTGTCGCAACTGACTCATGACGACCCCAGGAAGTTCCACCTCATGGCCTTTCAAGGCAAGAGATGAGCAGGTGGCTGACCATGTCTTCCTGTGCATAGAAGCCCCCGTCCTCCTTTGTGGTTTCCCGTTCAAGTGCTGACATTGCTTAGCTTCTGAGCTCAGATGAGATCAGGCTGCTCCAGGCTATAAGGGCTGCTACCGGGACATAAAAGTATGGCATAAATAGGGTTTGTTTTGTTTTGTTGTACATTGGATTGGAATTTCTGGAGCTAGAACCCGAGCAGGAATTGTTCCCATGACAGCATCTACACAGTTAACAGAGTTAAGGGAGCGGTGGCGCAGGCAGTAACATCAATGAACAGCCATTGCGGCTGTTCGAGACCCACCGCGGCCGGAGTGAGCTCCCGGCCCCAGTCCCAGCTCCCGCCCACCCAGCGGTTCAAAAGCATCATAAATGCAAGTAGATAAATTGGGTACCTGCCCTAGGTGGCAGGGGCACCCTCCTCCTTGCGAGATAGAGGCAACAGCGACAGCAGTGACGATGGCGGCGGAGCAGTTCCTGGCGACCAAGTGGAGTGACGTCGGAGGCGGAGCGGCGGAGCCCGGAAGTGGAGGAGGCCTGGAGAGCACGGTGACGTGCGGCGCAATTCGGCGGAGCCACCAGTGGACAGTAGCCAGAACTGCAGCCTACACAAAACCGTGCACCAGTACGAGGCCTGCCGGAGGAAGCCGCTCAGAGAAGATCGGCTCCAGAAGGTCACCAGGATGCCGATATCCGAAGTCGCTGAAGGAAGCCGGAGAACAACTAGCCCTGGGTGCTGGTAGGCTGACACCACCCAATCAACAATGTGGCCCTAGTCAGGTGAATTTGGTTAGAACTACTATGTAAACCGCCCAGAGACCCTTCGGGGTCAGGGCGGTATATAAGTCGAAGGTATAAATAAATAAAAATAAAATATCAAATATATTAAAGTGGTGGAAAACCTAGAACTGCAAAATCTGAAAGACTACAACTGGCTGGTTTGCGTGTATTTTCAAGACAATCTTCATGCTGTAATAAGCTATTGGTTGAATACATAAGATAATGCAAGGGAGAGGAAAATGCCACTGGTGTACATATTACCAGAAATGTTGCCACTACGACTTAAGGGCGGCTTTCACGCACGTTGGATGATGCACTTCCAATCCACTTTAGCAATCATTTGCAACTGGGTTTTCCTGAATGAAACAGGACAATCCTGCTGCAAATGATTGCCAAAGTACATTGAAAGTGCATTATTCAATGTGTGTGAGGCAAAGAATTGTAATTTGAACTGAGCAGTGAAAATACTAAAGTCAATATTCCAAGAAAAGGGATAAGAATACTAAAGAGCTGGTAGTTCTCAGTCATGCATCATCCACCTGAAAAATGTAAGTAAAGGGCAAACCAATAACAAAATAGACCTATTCATATGCTCATGGTAGAAACCTTGAGTCTGTATGTGGGAACTGGACTGCGTCATATTAAATGAGGATGTTGAAAGAATTGTTGAGAAATTACCACTGGGATACAAAGCAGAGGTAGTAATCTTGGTAACCTCTTTGCCCATTGGACTGAAATGAAATTCTGCAGGAGAAATTCAGCTATGAAAACAGAAAATCAGTAGCAATCACCATTTTTCCAGTTGGTCTAATAAGATGCTTGTCTTTTTGGTCTCTTTTACTGTGGATGTTTCAGAGAAAGGACAGAGCATGTGTCTTGCCTGCATAACATCAAAGACTGCTCAGAGCAAATCCACTCACTCAGTTGGGCTCAACAACAAATGCTACATTTCTGTACTGCTATTTCAATTCCAGGACAGCTGAGACAATGGAGAACGTCAAAACACAAGAGTGACAAAGGAAAGCTCAAAAGCACGACCAGTTCCCCTATTCTGGAGTTTCTAAAGGGGATTCAAATACTCTTAAAACTTTACTCCCTAGATACTCGTGGTGTGACTTTAACGTCTTAAAGAGGAACTTTAAAAGGGAGGGGAAGATATTAAATACTTGGAATGAGATGATATCTATCCCATTAAAAATGAACTTCTAGTAAACTAGATTCCTTGGCCTCATTATCTATCAAAAGGGAGACTGCAACCAAGAAATCAGGAGGAGATTGAGATGGGAACCGGCAGCCACGAAAGGGCTGTAGAAAAGATCCTTAAGTGTAAGGATGTGTTGCTGGTGATCAAGATCAAGACCGTTCATACCATAGTATTCCGCGTTACTATGTATGGGTGTGAAAGTTGGAGAATGAAGAAAGCTGACAGGAAGAAAGTTTCCTTTGAAACGCAGAGTTGGAGGAGAGTTTTATGGATATTGTGTACTGCCAAAAAGACAAACAAGTGGGTTCTAGTTGCGAAGAGTCGAACTCGACTGTGCAACTGAACAATAACAAGATTAGATCAAACCTGATCTCTTCCTAGAAGCTAGGGAAAAAGCTAGTGAAAAGACAATCATGCTAGGTGTAGTGTATGCAGAGCTGCCTTGAATGCATGATATGTTGTGAAACATCTAATTTAAGTGTAATGTAAAGCTTCGTCCTGGGCTAGGATCCAAATCCATCCAATCGTGTTACTAGCCCAGGAAGCACCTAACCAATCACTTTCAAGCAAGCTCCCTGAGCGGGAACATCCGTGATTGGTCCTTATGTGAACAACCTTATTGGTTGGTATTTGTACAGTGGGTGTGGCTACATTAGCCGGGAATGTTTAAAAGCAGGACAGCTGCAATGTAAAGGCTGTTCTGGCTATCAGATGTTGATCCTTCCAAGCTGAAGAAGAAATCTCCTCCTTGGAAGGATGGGCAGCTAAAGCAGCAACTTGTGAACTCTAAAAACACACCGGCTGGACCAGCCAAAGCCACGTGTGCGCTCCCTGGGTCGCGACTCCGGGGAACTTAGGTAGAGAGTCACTTGTAGCACCTTAGTGCACGCTATGGGGAAGGTGGGTTAACCAGAGAAACAAAGAAGAGTTTCTCCTTAAATAAACTCCTTTTTGGGTCTTTTCTAGCCATAAACTATCAAACCCGTCCTCTAAACTACCACTACTGGCTGAGGAGGGGGTGACGAGGGGGTGACGTTCTCCTGAGGGGTGGTGGGCAATATGCAGATCCTACTCCTACATCAAAGGTGCCTTGTGGTGAGGTGTGAATCTTCCGTTCCCATGGACACCTCTTGATTTGCAGATCTGGTGCTTGCTCCAAAGCCATAAATGCTATTGTCTTTAGATCCCAAGCCAGATTAGGAGAGTAGGGTTACGTGCTCTTTCCCATTCCAGAAATGCTGGGGTTCGCTGGGGATTTTCCATAGCTCTCAGAGTGGGTGCAATGGCGCGGTGTCTTCTCTATCCCAGAGCATCACGGGATACATTCCAGGGACGCACATGGTCCGTATGTGCAGCAGCAGCCCAAGGCCAGCCTATTTCTAGGCGAGCATGAGATGCAGAACAAAGCAACACAACCAAACAGCAATCCCTGAACACACAATGCAGAGGTACTCATGCTAGAGACACACACAAACAGCATCACCTCTATACAGAAATACAAACATAGGCTCATATCGTAACACTAGGATCCAAATCCATCCAATCGTGTTACTAGCCCAGGAAGCACCTAATCAAGCACTTTCAAGCAAGCTCCCTGAGCGGGAACATCCGTGATTGGTCCTTATGTGAACAACCTTATTGGTTGGTATTTGTACAGTGGGTGTGGCTACATTAGCCGGGAATGTTTAAAAGCAGGACAGCTGCAATGTAAAGGCTGTTCTGGCTATCAGATGTTGATCCGTGTTGGAGTTGTGTTTGAGTTGAAGAATAAAGCTGTGTTCTTGCTGAATCACTCTCCGACTGCTTTGTTAAAAGTGAGCGACTTAACACTAGGGAAAGTTGTTTGAAGGCAACAAGAGGTGGATTGACTCAATCAAGGAAGCCAGGAGGGCCCTCCGTTTGCAAGACCTGAGCAAGGCTGTTAATGAGAGGATGTTTGGGAGGTCATTAATTCACAGGGTTGCCAGAAGTGGGAAGCAACTTGATGGCACTTCACACACCAAGTAGCTTCCACACAGGGACAATTCCCCATTCTGCTTTCATTGCTGCTGTGAGGGTAGAGGCCTTCACAGAGATAACAGAGCTTCCCAATGGGTGGGTGGGGGGATTCCCCACTGTATCCTCTCACACCTGCCTTCCTCTCCCCTACCACACCAGCATGCTTTTTTGCCCACCTTTTTTTCCAAAATGGTAGTACCTGTGTCACAATAGTGTAAAAATACTATAGCAACATATCTACTACGGCTAAAATAATACCCTGCAAAAAGTCCATTGGCAGTTGGGGGGGGGGTGTGCATGAAGAAAAATGGGGCCAGATGCAGAAATCCACCCCTTGACTTCAACACTTTCCAAAACCCACTGTGGGTTCAATCTTTCAAGACAGATCATACCAAAGCAGGTTTGGGGGAACACACAGCAGAGCTGGGGACAACCCAGAAGGTGGGTAGCAGCACCGCGATACTATGTAAAAGCCCAAGTGTGTGTGTGTGGGGGGGGAGAAGGGCAGAGCTAAGCCCCCATGGGGAAGCCACCTAAAAGGGAAGGGAACAAAACAAATCTGTTTTGCTCTGCATTCCGTGTTGTGCACGTTAGTTTCTCGAACATGCTGGCCTAGGAACAATCACTACCGGTATTTTATACTCTCCTTACATTAAGCACACCCAGATGTGCTTAATCCACTAACAGAAAGGCACTGGCTTTGTTTGTGTTTCATAGAGAGATAACATCAGCCACATGGCTTCCTCCTGTATCTGCCAAGCTGTTTCTAATAGAGAGGAATTCTGGGGTCCTCACCTAATGGCGAGCGTTCCCTTGTGATCTCTTTCCAAAAGCAGATCAATCCACACACAACAAAGCCGGCAGCTGCTAGAGAGGAGACTAGTGCACCCCAGGTTCGGTTCTCTGGCTAGTTGCACAACATTCTTACAACTGCTGCAGGGACCATTTGCAAGCCCGCCTTTCAGGCAGCTCTGCCCCTTCCATTTCTCTGCCCCCCCCCCTACAACTCCCATGAAGGAACTTCTGCTGCTGCTGCTGCTGCTGCTATGGGGGCTGAAAACAGGGGAACCCCTGCAACCGGGAGTGCAAAGATGAGGAGCTCATGGTGCCCAACCCCTGGTACAAGACAGGATGGCAGAGTCTATGACTATGTACTCTGGTTTAGTTACTCCTAATTGTATTTGCCTTCTTGTTTCTATACCCAGCACTTTTAAAGTGCAATGCAAATTAAGTTCAGTAATCCTTTTTCAAGTGCTTGGCAATCAATGGAGGATTACACTAAAATGGCAGGACACATTAAACAATCGATCAAGATGAGTTTGGTGTAGCAGTTAGGAGCGCGGACTCTAATCTGGGAGAACCGGGTTTGATTCCCCGCTCCTCCACATGCAGCTGCTGGTGTGACCTTAGGCCAGTCACAAGTTTTCTCAGAGCTGTTCTCTCAAGGGCAGCTCCTGAGAGAGCTCTCTCAGCCCCACCTACCTCACAGGGCATCTATTGTGGGGAGAGGAAGGGAAGGAGATTGTAAGCCGCTCTGAGACTCCGAGTGAAGGGCGGGGTCTAAATCCAGTCTCCTCTTCTTCTATTCAACCCCTGCCCACTTTCCCCAGGACTTATTCCCAGCATTCCCCTTTTCCAAGTCAGATGCTCTTGTACAGGACCAGTTCAAGGGTTTGGGGCCCCCAACACCTGAATGCCTCCCATCTGCTTGTTTGTCCTTCTCCTGCTTGCAAGTCCTCCCGCTGTCCACGCTCAGT